TGATGTCAGGTGTGCAAGAAGTTCGGTGACAAAGATTCGGTCATCGATCACAGAGGACGTGGGGGCTAACGGGTCGCCTAGCCATTGCACCTACGCATTCGTCAGCCTTGGTTTCTTGTGAGATCCTTCAATCCTAGATCTGATCGTGACTTACGCCAGGAGCTTGGACATTCATGCCCTCCGGATACACCACGATGGTGTTTGGGTTGAAGTCAGGGTTGGACAGCTCGCTGATGACCTCCATGCTTCTTGCGGGCTGTTGCTGACCATGGAACGCAATCACAAGAGGCAAGGCTTCATCATTAGAGGCCTTGTACTTGGATGGCAAGTGTATGATGTATTGGCGCTCGGTTATGTTGCCGATCACCGATTTCGAAGACAAAGTGACATTGGTAGTAGATTTGCCCGGTGTGAGTCCCGAGGGCAAGCGAGTTCCACAGCCAGAGCTCGCTGCGAGTACGACAGGGCAAAGGAACGAAATGAGAGATAGAGACCGCATTATCGCGATTGCGAGGACCAAAAACCAAGACGCGTGCTCTCAAAAACGGTGTCAACAGGCCAGGTATATCTAGCTCTGGCGGCCTTTTGTATATGGGAAATTGCGGGCAAACAAAAGCGCCGCTCGTGCTGACGCGAAACCCCGTAGTCGGTCCTTTAAATAGTAATCGTTCACCGCTGTTAAGGCTACGCAAAGTAGCCTCCTCCCGAAGGTCGCTGCGGGTGTTCCAGGAGAGCAACACTAACTCCAACCGAGAAATCAACATTGGCTATGCGAAGAAAATGTGGAATGGGAGGTTTTTAGTAGAGAGCTGTACGATCCTACAGTCCGCCTGCTCAGATGCTTATATCTCTTTTGCTGCGAGCCGTTTGCCTAGCCTGCACGATGGTTCAGTGTTTTCTGTCACGCAATCTTTGACGCAGAACTGAATGTAAGAGAACCGCATATTGGTCAATAAGCTTGATGAAGACGCATAAAGACGGCTACATGTTGGACACGGACTGTAGCATCTATGGATGCCTATAATTGAGGTGTAAGCAGAACTGATCAATCGTGAAAAGGCATACTTACTCCTATGTGCCACCTGAGAAAGCAGCACGTCGTTAAAAGATAACGTGCGACACCTGGGGCTGATCAAGCTAGGCAGACACTAGCGTAAGCAGCCCCAGGAGTCGGATTTCCCGCTTGTGTTGCGTTGAAGATACAAATCGACTTTCGACTCAGCCAAGGGCAGGGCTATTATCGTAAGTCTCTGGATGTGGAGACTGGACGATTGGGGGCAAACCGCAGATATCAGTCTCTACTTACAATACCTCATCCTGCGGCTGTTGTGGTATCGCTGACTCTCGGCCTGGAGCACAAGAGCAGCCTTCTCAAACAGTAGGGCTTGATGCAACATTCCATCTTCCACTTCGCCATGGTCTTAGCTCATGACAAGACTTCTTGGTACCTAGGTGATCATTTGTCCATTGCGAAGATATACAGTGTTACTCAACAGCGTTGTGTTCGCGGGTCCCTGCCGCAGCACATTCTTCAGAATGATGACCAGATCGGTCTCACTGCATACACTTCAATCGAGCTGATAGAGTAATCAGGAGGGTAGGGGAACATTCGCTGGCGAAGGCAAGGTGGGACCGTACTGATTTGGTACCCAACGAAGTCTTGACGCGGCGCTGAGACTACCTTCACAGGCCCCCCCCACCGCCATCTTCGCTCTGACTAAAACATTGCTTATCTGTTGTAGCAAGAGAAATAATGAGCCACGGTACAGATGCATCATAATCGAAACTGCATCTCAATTCCGAATGAAAGGAAAGTAATAGCGTGGCAGCAGTGAGTTGGGCACTGATAACGCCCTACTGCCTGCCTTGGTCGTGAGGCCTCAGCTGGTGGGCATGCAAGCTGCGTACGGCGCACTTCCAGGGCACCTTTGTCTTCTGGAAGTACTGCCAGCCCGGAAGTCGCCTTGTTTGTCAAGTCGCACCCAATGAGCATTTCCAATAACTGCCACAGCCGTATGCTATTGGGTGGTTGTGTTGAGTGACGCACAAAGCCAGCCCTCCAACAGTGCAGTGAAAGTGCAGTGCAAGTGCAGTCTGTAGCGCTGCGTGCGTGCGTGCGTGCAGGCTGCAGGCGATCCGGCGGCGGGTCGCTAACGTGCGTCAGAAGTGACGAGTAGACCACATGATTGGGTGGCGAAGGCGCTGACACGGGCCAAAAGGTGGGTCACGAAAGTGCATGCGGCAGAAAACGAATGACAAAAGTGCACATGCAGTCTAGTAGCATCTCCCGGCGACCCTTGTGCCCTTGTAGAGGACGCCTGTGTCCGCCAAGACGTATAAAAGGGCGCTTGGGACGACGAGCATTGGTCAGACAGAAGGGCGGTGCGGGTGCCCGCAAAAGGGCAATGGCTAGCGTCGTTCGATCACTAGCGCTACTTTAGAAATACACCTGGGCAGCGAAATGGGCGCAGGGCACGCAGCACACTCTAATCATACTCGGTTGCCATGGGTTGTTCTGACCGAAACTCTCGCTCTCACTCTTCATCCTTTCTTATCACAACTACTCCTGCAATACGTTGTCATGTCTTGTTCGGGGACATGACTAGGTACCTCCGTTTTATAACAGGAACACGATTACACATTCATCACGCCTACACCCTTCCTTCAATTGTCTGCGCGTTCCACCTTCCACCTTCCACCTTCCACCTTCCACCTTCCACCTTTACGATGACCCCTATTTACGCTGTAGCCTAGCGATGGCAGCACCTGAGGTTCATCCCGAGTACACGTCCCCTATCACGCAAGTTCCTCAAGCCAGTCTCGCCGCTCCTGCTCCATGACCGCATCGACCTCATCACGGAACTCGGTCCCTGTCTGATGCAACTCAGCCCCTCCTCTACCAGGCAGAATGCCTGATGCCGAAGTGTGTGCCGTTACAATACCTCCATAGGCCTCGAACGAAACACCTCTCCTCGCCTTCTTCCGCGAAAGACTGGTCAAAGGCCAAGTCATACGTCCCCGTCCTACCCCCGAATGGAAGATCGGTCGAGGGAACGCTATATTTGCAACACCCACTGTCGGTGCAGGTATGCGAACTGCATCTGACTACATGTCAGTTTCGTCACAGGAAACATACTCCATACTTTATCTTCACCTTCAAACAGACTCGCATCACTACTGCCAGCTGCTTCTCCACGAACGTGGTCTGTAGGTAGTTGTCAGCCTAATCGACCCACACCGCTACCGCTTTCCGCCTTCAATCCCGGCCACAGGTCAGCAGACTCCGTTCGCCGTTTGGAGATGAAGGTGCAGCCAGACCTGTACAACTGCCTATTGCCGACGCTGTTTTTGGGCATAGCAGTGTCTCCACTGGTCCCTGCCTTGAAGCACGGTATGAGTCACAAGACGAAGATATGAGATACACTGTGTGTGTGTGTGCGACTGAGAAGTCGCTTCAGGAGCCCTCGCCGCTCACTGTTTGAGGAAAAAGTGTCTCACCTCTCCTTTGCTGATTTCTGCGCCTGTAGTATGTCGCTAGCATGACGATCGCTCCTATGGCCGCTGGAATGCCTATGATCAGAGCTACCAGCTCGACGATGTCCCCTTTCGACCATCCTGTCCCCCCGGACACATTCCTAGGCTCCGCTGCCATATTCTTAGGGACACCTGCGTCAACCGTCGTCAGCTTGTCGAACCCAAGGTTGGCACCTTGCCTTCAAGCAACTATGCAGTCTTCTTTGGCTTACCTAGGAGTGTCAGCTTAGAAAGACGTCTTCTGGCTATATCGAGGTCGTTGATGATATCTTCTGGTCACTGTTGTATTACATCAAGCACCTAGAGACAAAGTTCCAAAAGGCGCAGGTGCTGCCCATCAACGGATAGGAGGCGCAGACCTGTCCGACCTCGAAGCAGATCGCACTAGTCTAGGACGCTGTGCTCCTTGCGCTCGACTGCCATAGGCCGTAATGCTCCTTGGCATTGACCTGAGCGCCCGAGTAAGGATGGCATTCACACGGGAATACCTGGAGCAATGGAACCTCTTTTCTTTGGAACCATATTCTTCTGGCCATCTGAGCTCCACCGGCACTCCTCACATCGCTTCAGGTTTCTTTCCGATATTATGATCATTTCGAGCATCTCAAATTTTGGAGTACAAAGCCCGCTCACGCCGATTTCCAATCCAGGTTTACGATCGTCTATGCGGGTATGACTTCGCTTCCTGTATCGCATGCTTGACCGATCATATGCTCACCGCTATTCTGTGCTTGTTTCACGTCTGCAATCACCTTGGTGCCAGGTCGATCACAGCTTCACTAGTGGTCACGCTGCTTCGGCTGCTTCGCGCTTGTCGATTTTTTCCGAGTGACTTGCCAATTGGATTGAACATTGGCATAGCTATGGCTTAACAAGTCTGCCTTGATACTCGATGGGATTTTGCCCTTTTGCCCTGTTTCTTATCGGAGTCTGCCTAGCCGCTGTCTTCGAATCTGCCTCACGAATTCATTGGGTTAGGTTGCTCGAAATGCAGAAGGACCTCTCATCACTTTGCATTTGTTGAGGGCGCGTTGGCGGTGGCGCCAGCCCACCTCCACTTGGCCGGTCCAGAACTTACCTGGACACCCCTTGTTTTTATCTGTGCAATTTACCGGTGAACCTTGATTGAGTTGTTTGCGCGAATACGAGCGTTGTTCCCCAGACAAGGCTGGTATACTGTGGCCCTCGATTGGAGGCGGCAAACATTGGTACAGTTAGTCGCAGTCGCTTCAGAGACACATTTCGCCTCATTACTGAGTTACTGATGTCGGCAAGGCGGAAGTAGTTGCAAATATATGCGCGAAAGTCCAGGGAACACAAGCAACTGTGCATTAGTGCGTACCGCCACGAGAAAAACGAGCGGCAGGCCTTTCTCTCTCTTTTGTAAGCTGATTAATCTCACGCGTTGTCATCCGATCATTTTCGAGCAGCTTTCCCATCCAACACTTGATGCCGTACGTTGAAATATGGGGACAGAAATATTTAGGAACCCTTCCAACCCCTGGAACCACGGTAACAAGGACAACAATGTCGCCGCTGGATCCCAATGCGAAGTATCGTGTTGCGACGCGCGTTACACAGCCACAGGTGACCGTACCTTCCTGAACACTGCGACAAAACGATATTTTGATGCACCGAGAAAGAGTGGCTTAGCTTATGCTGCGCTCAAAGTCACGAAGTTCTACGACAAGAAAAACATCTTGGAATACACGGAAACGGCAATTCGATTCGTGCACATCAAGAACGCACTCAAGAAAGTGATCCCTTCGGACTATCCTGGGCTGAACTTGACTTCTGAGACTCTTGTCATGCGAGACTTTCTGCAGTGCGTATATTTCTATCACCGAGAGATACGCGAATATGGCGAAGCACTCAAAGATGAAGAAGCGGCTCGTCATGTCAACCTTGCTTTAGAACATCTTTACCATAGCTTAGGCCACAGCATCGAAAGTTTTCGCGAAAACGTCGAGGAAAACTTAGAAGACCCAGAGCGCGAGCCAGTTTTGGACTTTGAAGGCCTATGGATGGCGTTCTGCCCTGGAGATCTTGTTGCAGTGAAGCAACACAACAAGCACTACGTCTACCAGGTAGAGAAAACGGAATACGCCGACTCGTTGTTCCACTGCCCTTACCTCGACCTCAGGCTGCGCTCATTATACTGTAATGGAGATCATGTTGGCTTTGCCAATACACATGAGATTATCTCGAAGAGGACGTGCTATGGATTCACACCTCTTCTGGACCTTCCGGTTCTTCCGCTCAGATGGCTGCAAAAGGCTCAACGGGAGCACATCTTGAGCGAAGCCAAAATTAGGGGAGAACGATTCATCCTTCTGTCGACCGGGATTCATCACTGCGACTATGACGGCCTCGCTGATGTGATAAATTTCGAGCGAGATGGAGACGGCGATCCGGTTCCCCCTATGACCCGCTCGGTAAGCCTTCGAAGCAGCAAGAAGTCAGATGTTATCCCGCTAAATATGATAGATCACTGGAAGAGTCATCATTGACAGCAACAAATTCGCCAAATCGTGCCCGGACTATGTTCGAGATCTAAGAAGCGATCGCCCTCAGTATCGCATCGGGGAATTAGATGAGAACGATATCCCAGAGAAGGATATGCTTACCGCAAGCGGTGTACTACTAGGATTCTCACTAGCTCGCAAGAGTTGGGCCAAGTTCGATATCGATTACTGCCAAACTGTGCGTTACAACCAGCATGCTTTTGGTAAGCTGGTTCTACCAAAACCACAGAAAGACATGATACGATCCCTAGTAACTGCGCATAAAAATGGGAGCATGGGTTTCGACGATATAATCGAGGGAAAAGGCAAGGGCATGACGCTGCTCCTCCACGGAACACCCGGTGTCGGCAAGACACTAACAGCCGGTAAAACCTATGCGGATGTACAGATTCCCAGCTGAAACGCGTTGCAGAAAGCGTGGCGGAACACGCCAAGAAGCCGTTATATTCTGTCACGGCGGCGGAGTTCGCGGAGAAGGTTTCGGTAACGGAGAGAAAACTCAACGACGTGTTTGATCTTGCCGCTCATTGGGATGCCGTACTTCTCATCGATGAGGCTGACGTCATCCTCACGAGAAGAACATATGCCGAAGTGGAACGAAATGCGGTAGTTGCTGGTAAGTCTAGAAAGAGCATCCAACACTCATCTGAGCTGATAGTGTGAGAACAGTCTTTCTTCGCGCGTTAGAGTACTACAATGGTGTACTCATACTTACTACGAATCGTGTAACTTCTCTCGATACGGCATTCCGATCCCGCATACACTTGGGCATCAAGTACAACCCTCTCTCGGTCGATACACGTAGGCAGATATGGCAGACTTTTGTTCGTCAGTCTACAGGGGACAAGGCAGATGAATTCCTGAATGATACCATTCTCGAAGAGATCTCTGCCTATGAGTTCGATGGCCGCATGATCAAGAATGCCGTCCGTATGGCACACGCTGTGGCCACTGACGAGGGTGCTGATATCAACGTATCTCATATGCGTAAGGCAATTCAGTCACTGCAAGACTTTAAGCAGGATATGGAGGAGGCGGATAGAGAGGAAGCAGAAGACGCTCAAGGCGACTTCAATGCTTGTACCACATCGAGCTCTCGGAAGCGTAAGCGAACGTCTTCACCGGCCGCTGATCTGTAGTCTTTGTGTAGGCGATATTTATTTCCTAGCGCACAACTTAGTCTACATGACAACACATGTCCAATCGCTGTTGAGCCTGAATATTTTTGATTTGAGATCAAGTTGGCGGCCCGCAACGTTATCTGATGAGGTCTTGCAAAACAGTCCGATCCTTGGCACAACTCCAATCTCGTGAATTCCTCAAGCTCCTGGGAGTATGGGTGCGTGCAAATTGGGCGTGCGTTAGAATTATCGAGAGCTTGAAAGCAGGGGATTGATCATGACCAGTTCTTCCACTGTCTCTCTCATACGGTTGATGACATCACTCGCACTTCCAGCATCAAGTACGGACTCAAGGCTCTTTTCCAACGTACACCTGCCGCACAACAACGCTATTGATCGAGACAACGTGCTTTCGAACCATGCCTTCATCTCGTCGTTCTTATTTCTTGATGCATACATGTGGGTAATGTGCACATATGTGATGACGAGATCCAAGGGTTTGGTCGTGAAGTCTTCGTCCACCCGTGTGCATAGAAGTTCAAGTATCCGCTCGACGGTCGAGGTGCCACGATTGTATCGCAGTCCGAGGTGTTTATCCACCACAGCAACAATTTCTCCTACGGTGCAGAGGTCGAGGATTCCTTCTCGTTCCCGGAGGACAGTGAGACAAGCAGACTCTGAGTGCTTCTCCAATGAATCCCTCTGTAACGACGTTATTTCGGTTTCCGTTCCCTCACTCATCGAATCGCTCAGCTCTACCAAGAGGGCTGCGGCCTTGAGTAGCTGGATGTGGAGCTTTGTTAAGTCTTTCATGCAATTCTCCATAGTCGCCAGGATTTGGGGCCTCAACATCATCAAGCCGTTAGCTGTCGACATCTTAGTCATTTGCGCTTCGTAAAGCTTCAGTTCCAGATCGATTGTTGAACGGGTAGTGCTCATAGTACTTGTTAAGGTACGACCGCTGCGGAGGAGACCCCTGATAGATGGTACTGGAGCTACCGGCACTGAGGCGACCGGAGCCGCGGATGAAGAATGGGCCAGTGTTTCTACCAGACGTTGAATCAGAATTTCAGCATCTTCATGTCGTCCCCACTCTCTATACATGTTACTGATGCGCAGAAAATGTGCGTTTGACGTTTGATGGGAGAGTCCCCACTGGCCAACTATTATACGATTCATCCGATCGAGGACTTCGTCGGCCTTTTGCATCAATTTCTGGCTCGCAAAAAGTTCCGCTAGACGATATGATATCTCGAGTGTGCGATGGTGAGTCGGTGATAACAAATGTTCGTATGCTGAGAGCGCTTCCCGATACTTTGATTCTGCCATCGTTGCATCGTGCGACCGTTCGTATTCCTCACCCTGTTCAATCAGATTCACGATATCTTCAGCACGGTATCCCCGCCACATTAGTGGAAGGTAGCTTGGGAACGGGGTAGATGGTTCCAACAAAGGTGTCCAGCACTGTTCAAGTGTTGATGCCGCGATTGGGGGTGTAGGCATAGGTGCCAACTGTCGTGGGGTGGAGTACTTCAGTCCAGTTGGTGTTTGTATTGGCACTGGAATCGTTAGAGCGAACCTACCGCAGGGCAGCTATCGTCTTACCTCCGTCTGGTCTTGTCGGTGCGCCAATTCTACTCCTTTTCACGGCCTCTTCAACCTTCTCTAGGCTTACTGTATTGCCATACAGAACGAAGTCTGTCGGTTTCCCTTCTCTTTGTCTCCTTTTCTCGACGATAAAGTGCGCAACGGACGAAGGAAGATTTTTCCAAACGCCTCTTTCGTCAAGTTTCTTCTTGTATGTCCTCTGCCTGAAACACGCTAAGCTACAAATCAGATACGCGTCTCTTGTGGTGGCTACTTACGATGCATGGAAATCGTGTTCCTTGGCCATCACTGACATCGTTTCTTCAAGAGAAAGATTCTTATCCACGTACAGCCAGCGTATCGTGGGAATGTGTTGATTCCACTCTTCATCTTTGTGGACATGCTTCTTGCTGTTTCGGTTTCGTGGTCGTGACGGATGCTCTTCTGTCCTCGTTGGGTGGATAGGACTCTGTTGTGGCCCTGGGAAGGACTCAGGTAAGCTTGGCAGCGAATTAGGTCCGTACAAGCGGGCTGATCGTATGTGGGAGAGATCGGGCAGAGCAGCGGAAGCACCGTGCGATGCTTGAGGCGGCGGAAAATGGCTTTCGACTGGATTGTTACCAGGTGGTATGTAACAATTGAATCCTTCCGAGGAGAACGTCGGCCCAGAATAATCGACGGGTCTCTCTAGGTTCCTCGCGAGCATCCAATCTGATGTGCGTACATCTGCGTGCGGGGTAAAGAAGTCCGTCGCCGTCGGGTCTTGCACCTCGCGATACTGGACAGAACTATTGTCGCCAAATCCGTCCATGATTTGGGCTGTGTGTAATCGCGGGAGGCTGTGAGTCTGATCAGCGCGCAGGCCCTGGGGGTGATGTATGGGCAATGACCGTCGAGCAAGGCCGTGGGAAGACTGGGAACACGTTACCTTTTGCTTATACCCACGCGCTACCCTGCAGAAACAAGTCCCAACGAAAGAATGACGAGGGGGTAGGCTGCAAGGCGTATTCTCAACTTGATCTACGACCAATCAAAGGTCCGCACATTACCGACTAGCGATGCACAAGGTTACACAGCCTTAGCTATTTTTCGTTTACAACGCAATCTCTTCTCTACCTAAGTGCTACGTCTATTAATACAAGATAGATAGAAGTAAGTAGTAAAAAACGCTAAGAATACAAGTTAAATAATCTATATTCTACTTTTTATATAGCTAAAGAGTATATAATATAATAGAAAAAATTAGATCTCTTTAAATTATTTCTAGAATACTATAATAACTAATATAATTAATCTTATTAGTAAACTAATAGTTCTATAGTCTATAAACTATTTCTAATAAAGTAAAGTTTATTACTAGTATACTAAAGAATAGATAAGTAGAAATCTTAGTACTTTAGAAGTAAATAAGCTAGAAAGAAGTAGTAAGTATAATTATAGTAGCTATAAATAAAAAAGAAAGTATAATTATAGTAAGTATAAGTTAAGTAGCTAAAATATAGTAGATATTTTAAATAAATTTAAATTATATATTAGATTATAGTAGCTAAAAAGCTAAAAAAAAAAAAGCTAAAAAAGTAGTCTAAGTATAAAAAATTAAGTATAAGAAAGTAGTAGTAAAGAAGTATATAGTGTATAAAAACTCTATAGTAAAAAAGTATTTTATATCTAATATTCTCTAAATCTTTATATATTTAAAAGTATTAAATAAACTATAAAAAAGTAATAAGATAATACTTTTTTATATTTTAGAAATAGTTATAACTAGTAAGTAATATAATAGTGTATATATATATATATAGTAGCTAATTATCTATATATATATATATATATATTTTTAATTTAGAGTCTTAAGCTTTACTTATTAAAGTATATTACTATTTTATTATAATTCTATATTTAAAGTAATAATAAGTACTTTGCTTTATACTTATAGAATATAACTAAGTAATTAGAAAAATTAATTTTTTTAGTATATAGTAGATAGTATAATTTAAACTTATACTTAAAGAACTTTATATCTCTAATACTAAAGCTTTTCTATTTTAAATATTAATTAGAGCTTTACTAAAGCTAAATACTAGCTTAATTCTATTATCTTAGTATAAACCTTTACTAAAGTTTTACTAACTAAAGTTAAGTACTAACTTAGTAACTAGCTATACTAGAGCTTGTAAAGAATAGATAGGTAATAAGAACTATTCTCTAATAATAGAATATAGCTTTATTAGAACAAAGTAGTTAAATACTATAATAAATAGTATAACTAATAAAGATTTGCAATAAAGTAATTATAGAGTAAATAGTAGGTAAAAGGTAATAATATTATTACTAGGTAAAGAATAACTATAGAGAATTGCTATTTCTTTTATAAAAAATAGCTACTAGAATAATTACGTAAATATCTGCCTATTTCTGCCTAAAATTAAGAATTTATAATTAAATCTACTTAATTCCTAGATTTATAATCTAAGTCTGCTAAATTCTTCTTATCTTCTAGATTTATAATCTAGACTAGTACTAATTATATTAGTCTATGCGTTATATTATATAGACTAATAATTAGTTTATTACTAGATCTTTTAGTAATTACAAAAAGAGAGATAAAAAGATAAAAGTTATTAAATTACGTAATAACTCTAATATTAACTAGACTAAGATAAATAAAGGTGTTTTAGAATCTTCTAGTGTAGTAGATTAAAACTAGCTACTAAAATCTTAATTACGTAAGTAATTAGATTTACTAGGAATTTTTCTAATTTATTAAGAAATAATAATAAGTACAATCTTAACAAAGCTTAATAATAAAAAGATAATAATAACTAAGTTATTATAATCTTTACATACTCTCTTAAGCTACAGTTTATAACAACTAAATAATAAGAAAATATAAGTAGTTTTTATAACTAACTTAATAACAATTTATATAAGAAGTTTTAATAACTATCTTAAAACTAAAAACCTATTTCTATTTCTATTTCTATTTGCTTATATAAATAGTTATATAATAATAACTAAATATAAAGCCTAGACTAGAATCTCTAGAGTAGAAGAACTTAAAGGTTAAAAACCTAAGCTCTGTAGTAATAGTATTAATATACTATTTTTATTATTATAAATAATAATAATAATAACTAGTTATAAATAATTAATCTAGTTTAACTAGGCTAATTCTATTTATAAAATTCTGAAATTTAGAATAACTAGTAGGTTTAGTTAGATTATCTACTAGAATAGTACTAGTATTTTCGTAAACTAGATTTATTTTATTATCTAGTAGATTTTCTCTAATAAAGTAATAAGTTATATCTACGTGCTTAGTTCTAGCGTAAAAAATAGAGTTTTTAGCTAGTTCTATAGTACTTAAAAAATCTATTTTAATAATATTAGTTCTATTAAAAATTAAACTAAATTCTTTAATAGAATTATTA